CTACTCGCTGCAGCTCAGACGAGGTGTCATCACACGCAGACTGAGACCTGAGAGAATAACGGAAAGATGGAGACAGAACATATAAGCAAGAAATGTGTTTACAGTTGATTTGCAGTATACTGAGGATTCCTATTCACACCATATTTTATATTATCATGGTGAACTGAATGAACGGTGTTAAATATGGCTATATTGACAACATGTGTGGCTAAATTTGGAAAATATTATTCAAAGTCAGTAAAACAAAGGAAAACAGCAGTAATGTACACTACCAATAAAAAGTAAGATTTTGAATGTTTTTAAAAGAGGACTCTCAGTTAAAAATACAGTAATATTGTGAAATATTATTGCAATTTAAAATAACCATTTTAAGATATTTTAAAATGTAATTTCATCTATTCATTCTAATATGCTGATTGGATGCTCAAAAAACATTTCTTATTATTATCAATGTTGATAACAGTTGATCTGCTTAATATTTTTGTGGAAACTGTCTCACATTTTTTCAAGATTCTTTAATAAATAGAACATTGAAATGAAGAGCATTTATTTGAAGTAGAAATAATTTGTAACATTAAATTAAATCACTTCTGACCAATGTAACGCTTACTATCCATGCTGAATAAAAAACGACTTCCTTTCAGGAGAAAAAAAACATCTTACTGACCCCAACTCTAAAAACAAACGGTGCTAAATAGCACCTAAAAGTGTTTCTTTGGCTTGTAATCATAGGGGAGCCACTTTAAGTGCTAAATAGCACCTATATCTTTGAAGATGGTGCTATATAGCACCTTAAACACCCCAAAGAACCGCTGAAGAACCATTGCAGGTTCTTTATAGGTGCTATATAGCACTTAAATTGGTTCCCTATGATTACGAGCCAAAGAACCACTTAGCAGTGCAATATAGCACCTCAACTACCACAAAGAACTGCTAAAGAACCAATTGTGTGTGTGTGTGTAGGAATGGTAGTGTTGTTACATCACATGAATTAGTCATGAATTAATGAGTTAAATATTTATTTTTAGTTATTGCACAAAAAGTATTCTCGTAGCTTCGCAAAATTCAAGTTGAGCCACTGATGTCACATGAACTGTTTTATCAATGTCCTTGCTACGTTTCTGTCTGGGAACAGTACAGTTGCGTTGCTGTCTATGGAGGGACAGAGAGCTCTCAGATTCCATCAAAAATATCTTAATTTGTGTTCCGAAGATGAACGGAGGTCTTACGTGTTTGGAATGACATGAGGGTGAGTAATTAATGACAGAATTTTCATTTTGGGGTGAACTAACCCTTTAAATTATATCCTTGTATAGATTGTAAAATTAGTGGTTTAAAGTTTATGTAACAAAAAGCTCAATTTTGAGGTAAATGACTGCATATAAACGATGCTGTTGATAGAGTATTGATAAAATAAAATAAAAAAAGTAGATTTTTGAAACAGTTTTGTCCCAATATGACACCTCCTTCATGAGGACCACAAGCTAGGTCACCACAATGGTTTTACTATCATTGCAGAGATGGAAAAACAAGCCTCCACACAGACACACAGTCACTGACCTGCTGAGCACACTCTCTGCTCGGTCCTGCTCGTCCTCTTGAGTTTGCACAGAGAGTCGATGAGAGCAGGGAGATCCCTCAGCAGCTGACTGGCCCATCATACTGTACACACAACACACCTTTACTTACAGCGGGGAAAATAAGTATCGAACACGTCACCATTTTCTCAGTAAATATATTTCTAAAGGTGCTGTTGACATGAAATTTGCACCAGATGTCGGTAACAACCCAAGTAATCCATATATACAAAGAAAACAATACAAATATGTTTAGAAATTAAGTTCTGTGTAATAAATAAATGACACAGGGAAAAAGTATTGAACACATGAAGAAAGGGAGGTGCAAAAAGGCATGGAAAGTCACCAGCTGAAATCTATCAGTAATTAGAAAGCAATCCTGCCCCTACAGTCAGTGGAAATTAATATTAGCTGGTTCAGTCCCAACACCTACAGTACCAGGATGATGAAGATGAAACAAGGGTGGACATTTCAGCAAGACAATGATCCCAAACACAGCCAATGAAACTCTCAATTGGTTTCAGAGAAAGAGAATAAAGCTGCTAGAATGACCCAGCCAATCACCTGACTTGAACCCAATAGAAAATAAGACCTAAAGACTAGAGTTCATAGAAGAGGCCCACAGAACCTTCAAGGTTTGAAGACTGTTTGTGTGGAAGAATGGGCCAAAATCACATCTGAGCAATGCATACGACTAGTTTCTCCGTACAGGAGGCGTCTTGAAGCTGTCATTACCAACAAAGGCTTTTGTACAAAGTATTGAATACATTTCAGTAAGCGTGTTCAATACTTTTTCCTTGTGTCATTCCATTTTATTATACAGAACTTAATTTCTGAAATTATTTGTTTTGTTTTATTTGTATGTATGGATTACTTGGATTGTTACCGACATCTGGTGAAAATTTCATGTCAACAGCACCTTTAGAAATATATTTATTTATATTTAAAATGGTGACGTGCTCAATACTTATTTTACCCGCTGTACATGCCATTACAACTTTTATATAAAGTTAAATATATAAAACAATAATAGTTTGTTAAAAACATTATAGTCTCCAAAGGGATATTTTAGCTCATTTTTGTGGACATCCGCAGTTGGGTAAAATTTTATCCCCAAAGGTGTTAGTGTGATCTTGTCACTGCATGTGCCATTACACTCCACTGACGCTCGCTAGATTTCAGCAGAACATGGCCCTTCAGACTTCTCAGGAGCGCATGGAGTCAGTGGTGAAGTGCAGAGGGACAGCAGGTCAGGGGAGTTACCAGAAAACACTTCTCACCTGGGAATGTGGTCACTATGACAATCACCTCAGCTTACCGTAAGATAGAGACAGAACAGGGAAAGAGGGACAGCGAGAGATTTAATAACTACTGCTTCAAAAGTGGACTGAGGAATGATCTCATGGTTAATGATGGAACGGCTTTAGGGACTGATGGATGGATGGATGGATGGTGCCATGTCTAGATGATTGTTAACAATGTTTTTGATAATTGCCTCATCATTAAAGAAATACAGAACACAGAGTGACACAACTCTTCCCAGAGGACAAACACACAGAGCCAATGTCTCACGAGAAATCATGGTTGCTAACACAAGTGCTTAAGACAGACACACACACACTGCTGGAGTTTTAGTTTTATCATAAGTACAGATCATTGTCCTCAAACTAAAACACTTTGGAAGTATTTTTGGAATATAAATATTTTAAAGTTTTTATGAAAAATAATGTTACTGTAAGAGCTATAAAGATGTTATTTAAAGACAGTAATTGATTTAAGTATCTGTTAAAGAAAAAAGCAATTTGCCATAAATATTAAGAATGAAAAAAACATGAAATATTATTTTAATCTAAAATATTATAAATACAATAAAGAACACATACATTTTATAATATTATAAATTATTCAAATTAAATAAAAACATGTTATAAATCAGTCAATAAAAAAAATCTGTTTATGATCAATTATGTGTATATAAACTTACCTATGAGAGATAAGAGATGAATGTGAGCTTTTTTGCATGTCTAAGACAAATTCCCTGACTCACCTTCAGCGGCTCCTCTTCTTTAGGATCCCAAAAAACTCTGGAATGTTGGTCCATATTACATCCTTATGCTCAACAAGAAACACACAAAGCGTGTTTCTGATCTTCATACTAGAAATGTACAGTTCTCTGTTTATGTATTCTGTGTAAATAGAATAATACTATGATCGGTCATACCATCTCACTTTCTCATCTCTAGTGTGGAAGTCACTCCAGCAAAAGAGGTAGAGAGAGAGAGACAGCGGGTGAGATAGAAAGGCTGGGTATGCAGGGGCAGGGCAAAAGAGAATGGGAGGAGAAAAAAATGAGACCCTGACAGCACACAGTTGCAAAATAGCACGGACAAGAGCTGTTTTCATTACTTCAAATTCCTCCATCTTGTAAAAACACTGCCAGAGTTTACCCTTGTTTTACCTTGTGTATTATGAAGTCTTTCAATTTTGCCTTGCTCTTCTGTAACAGAATTTTTCCATACTGGCTAAACACTTTCTGGCTCAGCCTGTTGCGATGTTGACAGACAGGTGGGACGATGCAATGAACATTTTATGGTCTTCCACAGAAGAGAAGCAAATTTTAGATGCACCTTTGACAGATACAAAGATGAACTAAATGGATTAGATGAATTCGATGAAAGATGAATTTGGAATTCCACAAATTAATATAAAAATTCCATTATTTATCTGTTACACAACAAAATTGCAAATACAACAACTTTTTACATTTTAAATTGTGTTTTCTTCATCGCTCTTATGTGTCTCTGCATGAAAACAAGGACTCTGATCCGTTTTCTTCTACAATAAATGTGTGCATATTTACAGGTGCCCACACAAAATCAGGTAAGACTCCAATGGGAAATTATATGAATATACTTGGTTTGGTTTCTGAGCAGCTCATTTCTCCTTGGACTCCAGATTCAGTGTACCAGTAACAGCTGCTCAGCCCTGCTAACTCTGAACCCAACGGACCAATCAAAACACCAAATCCTATCACTGTTCTAACTCTTGAGCCCAATGGGCCAATCAAATCGCTACCCTGTTGTGGCTCAAGGCCCAACAGGCCAATCACAGTCATTGTACCAAGTCTGAAAACCAGTATCATCATAATATCAGAGAATCAGCATGTCAGCTGATTCTTTGTAGAAAAACTGATTTCCCTAATAAATAGCTTACAGTCATAAACAGAGAAAAGGATTTGCCAAAATGTTTATTTACATACACACAAACACATATATCTATATATGTTGTCATTTGAGCCAGCTGATCGAGCCGTACATTGCCAAAAGCATTTATTTTGATAAACCAAAATAAAATAAGTGAATATAAAGATCAGTGATTCTCTAAAGACATAAGACATAACTAATCTGATAAACTGGGGATTTCACTGCTTTGGACAAAATGATGAGACTTTATTCAAATCCTCATCTTGAGCACATGCATTTTAAATGACAAATTCCCACAATCCTTCGAAGCAGAGGCAAACCATGTGTGCAGCAGGAAGAAACAGAAGTCACAATTTTCCTCAACATTTGTCTGATATCAACACTGGTGTAGGTTAATGTGGTAGGTTAATAAGGTATTTGAAAGACAAGCAGGTATTAAAACATGAACGCAAATAAAAAGAGCCCTATTACAAAGAAATGTATAATAATCTTTAATTCAATTATTACTGACTGAGTTCAGAGCAGGACCCCAGAACTAACCAGATGACAGCAGCGTTACCATGTAACATTTGTAATTTTGTCTAATTGAGTTTCCTGCGTGTTATTGTGGACAATGAAAGCTGCACACCCATCCTCAACTGCATAAAAAGAAAACTAAACGCAAATAAACAATGAGGACAATATTTCCAGGTTTCTTACAAAATCGCATATACACAATCTCTCTCTTTCACACACACCCGGTTCTCTTTAAACCTGGTCTCTGAGTTTGGCCAGTCTCTGAGAGAGATCGTCCTATAGCAACAAAAACAAATACAAAACCATTAGAGTACATATCGGACATGAGTTTGTCCGTATTTCTATATTCAAGTATGAGTGTGTTATAATACCTGTTCTGCAGATGCTACGCTGGTTCCCACTGATCCTGTCTGACCTTGGGGAAGCTCCATATTGAGGTCCAGCCTAAACACACAAGTACAGACATTGGTTCTTATCTAAAGTTTTTGTCCTAAATTGGGTTGAGTTACAAAAGAGATTTCATCAACTGAATATTGGTAGTTATAATCGGATTAAATGGTCTTATTAAATCAATAATTGAATCATAGTCTGATATATTATTTAGTAGTAGTAGTAATTAATTATACACTACTGTTCAAAAGTTTGGAACTTTTTTTTCCTATAGAGCAAATGCATTGAATTGACCAAAAAACGGACATTTACCATGTTACAAATGGTTTCTATTTTTAAAAATGCTGTTCTTTTTAACTTTTTTCTTCAAAGAATTCTGAAAAAAATCTCGGTTTCCACAAAAACAGTAAGTAGCATATCCTTTTTTAACATTTTTTATCTAAAGTTTTTGTCCTAAATTGGGTTGAGTTACAAAAGAGATTTCATCAACTGAATATTGGTAGTTATAATCGGATTAAATGGTCTTATTAAATCAATAATTGAATCATAGTCTGATATATTATTTAGTAGTAGTAGTAGTAGTAATTAATTATACACTACTGTTCAAAAGTTTGGAATTAACTTTTTTTTCCTATAGAGCAAATGCATTGAATTGACCAAAAAACGGACATTTACCATGTTACAAATGGTTTCTATTTTTAAAAATGCTGTTCTTTTGAACTTTTTTCTTCAAAGAATTCTGAAAAAAATCTCGGTTTCCACAAAAACAGTAAGTAGCATATCCTTTTTTAACATTTATATAAAAAAATGTTACTTGAACACCAGATCAGCATATTAGAATGATTTCTGAAGGACCATGTGACATATCGCAATGGTAAATGCCATTCAATGGAAAAGTATGTTTTGATTTTGTTTGTTTACCTTCTTGACCTTGGCCTTCTCCGCTTTCTCTTCTTTGTCACATTTCTTGGAACTCCGCTGAAGTTCTTTGGCTGCAAACTTGAGGTTGAACAAATTCTCTGAAGTCACACGTCAAGGAAAGATTTTTTTTTAAAGGAACCGCAGTGTTTGTGTTATTATCTGATACCTTCAATAGATGGAAGACCCCTCTACACTGTAACAATGACATTATAAACAAACAATGTACACCGTCTCGAAACTGAACAAACTAGTCTGACAGGCTGTGGCTGAGAGTTCAGATAAACAACACATAGGCGGCGACATTACGTAATTCTACATCACAGTCGTACCTGGCGGAATTTGACGATGTTTTTGATAACGCAATTACCAAAATAATCACTTTTAACTATATAGACTGACAAAATTAAAAACACAGCTCACGCCCTTATTTAACTTTCCGATTGAAATCACTACGCTACATATTAAAATCCATTCTCTAAATCAATCTCTAGAGGTAACGTTATCCACTGACGAGAAAAAAAGTCCCGCAAATGCGTTGTTTGATATAACGGCTATATAATGTGACCCGACCTGGTGGTATATACTAAAATGTTGCTAACACGGAGTTAAACCCATAAATAGCTCTCAGTAAAAGTGATTATGGTCCCATCGACAGTGAATCTCGGGCCCGTCCACTCCAGTCCGCGAGGATACTTTCCATGTTGGACATAACAATCCGGTTCTGCCGCTGGCTGGTGCTTCTTGAGGAAGTGTGACGATTAGACGGCAGTAGCTTTTAGTCCAGTCTCTGCCAAGCTCTTCGTGTGGACCACTAACTGTCCCCCGCTCTGTTTGTTGTAATTTTTCTGCATTCACTTCCGGCTTCTCCAAACAACTGGAGTGACGTCACAGTCACGCGCTCAGCGATCGCGGTGATGTCACGGGCAAAACATGAAAGAGACGCTCACGCGCCTACTGAAATTTGATCCATTTTTTAAATAAATATAATTTCAAAATAATAACAACAACAATAATAAATAAATTAAACAATATATAATAATACATAATCTACATTCATGTCCTTTTGGCTGCTAGAGATCAGATAGAGACTAATCACAGTTTGACACCTTTATTATAAAAAAAAAACAATCCAAAATGTGTAGAAAAAAAGGACACATACGTTAATGGCATCTAACATCTTGACCATCTTCACTATTATTGTTACTGAACAGATAAGAGGCTTTGTCTCAACATGACAACAGATCCCTGATACAAAAAAATAAATAAAAAAAACCTTTCTAAACTAACAGAACCGGAGGAGGTTAATGCTGTATCTTGATTGGCTGGGAAACATCTTTCAAACAGGTGAGGACAAGCAATTCAGGGGTTGGATGGCGAGGGTGCTTTCCAACTTTCCAAAATAGTGCAAGAGAGAAAAACAAAAGCTAGAAAGAGGGATAAACAGCAGAAGATAAGAGGGGAGAGAGAGAGAGAGAGAGAGAGAGAGAGAGGGAGAGAGAGAAGAAGGGAGGAAGAGAGATGTACCAATGTTTTAAAAAATAATTTTTGTACACAGCCTTTGACACCACAAACCAAACTCAGATTCAACTTATCTCTTCAATTTATAATGCTTTGTCTTCTTCGTTCTGAAAATACACCAGCGAAACACATACCATTGATTACATGATCACACGAGATGATTTTCAGAGAGGATTTCTTGTTGTCTTCCTTGTTTAAAACAGCCTTTTCAGGCTTTCATGATAATGGCGTAGAAAAAAAAAAAAAACCATTGCAAAAAGTAAAATAAAAAAAGGTGAGAAAACAAACAGTCTGTTGCTCTTCAGATAGCTTCAATTTACAGTATATCTGAACCAGTCAGAGTCCAGGGTTCAGACATCACCTCACATCCACCAATCAGCTGCCACATATACTTGACAAAATGTGCAAACATTATCCATACTAATGTTCTCCTTACTGCAAGGTAAGAATGAATCAAAGTGTATCATACAACAGTGGAAAAATATAAATATATTCTGTAAAAACAGTCTGAAGTGTTTTTGTGTATTTGAACAAGAGGAGAAGGGAGAAGTGTATTTTCTCCTACGTTTCCCATAATCCTCCTCGTGTCTGTGCTCAAATGGATGAGGATTACCATGAGTGATCTGGAAGTAGTTAATGCATCTCAGAGTTTGCACCTGCACCAAAGTTGATTATATTATTGAACAGAGGTAAATGCATAACCTGATTGAATAGTAAAGTCAAGTCAGTTGAATTACATGGCAAACTTAAGTGTTCTCAATGACCCCCTGTGTAAAAAAGGGTACGAAAAGAATGCGAGATGGAGAACGTGAGAGGAGAGCAGCACCATCTTTCTGACAGAATAGATTCCTCGGAGGGAAAGAAGCCAGAAACCAAAAGAATCAAAGCCAAACAGGAGGAGGAAGGGAGGATGAACACAGAAAGAGGGGAGGAAAGTGGACTCTTTACCACTCTAGACCAGAATAAGGCAGAGGTGGCTGATTAGTTGATGGCGTGGTAGTTTCTGTGGAAGCCACAGAGAAGAGAGAGCACCACAGTCCAGGAAGAGTCACGAACATCAAGTTTCGGAGACAACAACAACAGTAAAAAACACAAAAAGACAGTACTAAAAACAAAATCCCTGCAGTATTGCTGTAGTTAGTCTGTGTAAAGATCAGAAAATGTCAATGTGTCCAGCCCATAAGATGGCTGACCCTTGCACGTTCAGTCATGCGACGGACCCTTCCAGAACGCGACATTCCTAGATTCAGCGGGTCTGTCGTCGGCCCCTCATCCTCAGAGTCATCGTTGTACAGAACAGTCCTTCGACCCTGGTTACGAGTGTTAACCCGCCCTGACTTTGGAGTACTTTGATTTGACCTCTGACTTCCAGTTTTTGTTGATGACGAAATGACATCGGCTTCCTCCTCCTCCAATGACTCCTCTTCCTCCTCGGGTTCCTCCTCTTCCCCCTCGGGTTCCTCCTCTTCCCCCTCGGGTTCCTCCTCCTCCCCCTCGGGTTCCTCCTCCTCCCCCTCGGGTTCCTCCTCCTCCCCCTCGGGTTCCTCCTCCTCCTCCTCCTCCTCGGGTTCCTCCTCTTCTTCATCTCTTTCATTTGCTCGCCGTGCTCGTTTCACAGGAGTTGTTTGTGCTTCTCCTTTGCGCTTTCGCTTTGTGTTATCGACAGAGGCTGCTGCCGCTTTGCTTTTCTCTTTGTGTTGCGGGGCTTTGCTGTAGTCGTGATCGCCGCCGCCCACCTCAGCCCCACTGTCATCACTCTCGGACGAAGACGATGAGGTCCCGGAAGAGGACGACGATGCGGATGTCGAGGATGATGATGAGCTGGTGCTCTCACATTCAGAGACCTCTCCCTCTTCAGGTAACGCGGCCCCTTTCCGACGTGAACTTCGACCTCCGTTTGGCAGTAAGCCATGGCCACCTATATATAGAAGCACAGAGGACACAATTTCATGGTCAAATTGGAGGTAAAGCAAATTCTTTGCAATATACAGTACAATTCAAAAGCTTGTGGTCAGTAAGATTTTTTTCATGCTTTTAAAATAAGTCTCACCTAGGCTGCATTTATTTGATCAAAAATACAGTAAAAACAGCAATATTATGAAATAGTATTACTATTTAACACAACTGTTATATTTAAATATATAATTTATTCCTGCGATGACACAGCTGATTTTTCAGCATCATTGCTCCAGTCTTCAGTGTCACATGATCCTTCAGAAATCATTCTAATATGTTGATTTGCTGATCAAGAAACATTTCTTATTATCAGTTTTGCTGCTTAATATTTTTGGTGTGAGATACTTTTTTTCTTACTTGGAAAAAAAAAAAGATCAAAAGAACAACTTTAAAACAGAAATCCATGAAAAAGTCCTTGCATTTAATTCATTTCTTTAAAAAAGAAAATCTTACTGAACCCATGCTTTTGAAAGGTAGCATATGTTTATGTATTAGTGTGTACCTGAGGATTTGTTTGGTGTAACACGGCTGCGTGTAACTCTGTTGGCTCCTGCCTGCTCTGATAAAGAGGACAAGGAAGATGAGGAGGAAGAGGATGAGGATGAAGAGGATGGCTGACTGTCTTCATCGACTTGTGCAACATTCAAATCTGGTGAAAGAAGTGAACACTTTATTTAGAATGCATATAAACTAAATTCATCATTATTATGATCATTTCCAATTATATTCCAGTGGTTGATTTTAGACGACCCCAATTTGGAAAGAATTTTTACCACTGGTAATTATGACATCTTGAACTCTCTTACACACCGTGAGAGGATTTCTGTGAGCAGACTTTTGCAGACACCTGGGAAGTTTTCTTTCCTGATTTCGGTTTCCCTTTGGGGCTGCAGAACACACAGGTTTAAAAAGGGGTAAAAAGAAATGAAAAATCTATGTGCAGTCTATACCATGGATTTGACAGTGGATGTACATGTTTTACCTGTTGGGATAGGAGCTCTGTAATCTCTTGCTGCAACTGAGTCTCTGTTGACTCCTACGTTGATTCTGAACTGCAGATTTGTAGTCGGAGATTATGGGAATGATCTGAGTCTCAAAGAACGCAGAGAGACTCAGAGTCATACTGTAGATCTAAACAACACACAATATCAGAGTCATACTGTGGATCAACTGTAAGACCTAAACCTACTCTGACTATTTTACCATAGCTGCATAAAGGCAGACAAAAAAAAAATTAGTCCAAGGAAGACTGCAAATTCATATTAAAAAGACAGAAATATACAGTTTTAGTTACACAAAAGTACAATTAACAGCACAACAGCATTAGAAAAAAATGTCTATCAACCATATACATTACTGTTTAAAAGTTTGGGGTCAGTAATAGGGCTGCAACAAATGATTATTTTGATAATCAATTAATCTAATGATTATTAGAACGATTAATCGACTAATCATCGATTTCGCTGATAACTCAGTAGATATTTATTGATTATTCAGCTTTTGCAATTAGTTAAAATATTGAGTTATACATTCAAACAAATAAATTAAAGTAATCACTTCAGCTTTTGACAGTCATATTATGTAATTACAATTATACAAATAAATATATTTGGCACACAAAATGAGATGGCAGAGAAACTCTTATTCACCATTTAATTAGCTATATGAAAAAGTAGCTGCATGACACATCATTCTATCTAAAATCTCTTTTTGTAAGTCATATGGATAAGAAACTAAATAAAAGTTAAGTGATAAGACGTTTTATTTTTGGATAAACTATTTTATTCACGACATAAGCTCTAAAAATACCTTATAGTGTTATAATAATAAAAAAGTCCCGAGCTAGATCAAGCTTTGATCTCTGCAAACCAAACTATAATGTCTCCGGTTACGTATGTAACCTTGGTTCCCTGAAAGGAGGGAACGAGACACTGCGTAGCTTACGCTTGGAGTTATCCCCCTCCTCCTAAAATACTGAAGCCTTATTGCATCACATCGGTAAATCTTACCGGCCAATGACGCTCGAAGGCTCGAGCTAGGGGCGGAGCCACCCACTATACAGGTCGACGTCCAGTGTCATTACCTCAGAATCTTTCGACTGTTCGAATAGGCACAAGACTCTGAGGATTACAACACAGCAGCGCACGTAGTGTGTCGTTCCCTCCTTTCAGGGAACCGAGGTTAAGTACGTAACCAGAGACGTTTCCCATCAAGTTCGGACTCTCGACACTGCGTAGCTTACGCTTGGGAAACGCATACAATCCTGCTGTGTTGTATTCCACACACCCGGTGAGAAGAGTCTAATGAGCCAGACCCAATAGAGCAGAGCCCGTTAACTGCTTCATAGAACACTCAGGGAAACCAACGCCCTGACTAAGCACAACACTACACATGGACTGGCCGCAGCACTGCTGGAGCCACGTACATATACAGCATTTACCACTTGATACATAAGAAAAACAGCGCACCTACCACGGTCGACAACAGCTTGAACGCATGTAGAGAGCCGATGACTATAATTATCTATTATAGGCATGTCTTGGGTCTACCGGACCTAGTCGAAACCACCCTGATCATCTGGGGGGCGTGGCCAGGTGCAGGCAGCAGCCAACTGCCAAGCTGTAGATACGTCACTGCACAGACAGAACGAGTGGTGCGAATGACGGAATCTTCAGATTGTAAAATCTAGCAAAAGTGTCCTGTGAAGACCATCCTGCTGCCAGACAAATATCCTGAATCGACATACCTTTTGCCCAAGCCAAAGCCATTTTTCATGTGGAGAGGGCATGTACTCCCAACGGATAGGTCTCATTCTTAGAAGCATACGCCAATGCGATCATTTCCACAATCCAATGTGGCAGCCACTGTTTTGACACTGGCAGTCCCTTGGTACGGCCACCGAAACATATAAACAGCTGTTCTGCTTGTCTGAATTGACTAGTCCTCTCCAGATAAACTCGCAGAGCACAGACTGGGCATAGCAGGTGTGTCGCTGGCTCTGAATCCTGAGGAGCAAACGCCTGAAGCGAGATGACCTGTGCTCTGAACGATGTAGAAAGCACTTTAGGCACATTCCCCCGTCTAGGCTGCAGTCTGATTATACAGTCATCCATCTGTGTTTGTAGACAGTGCATGTAAGTCACCCACCCTCTTACCACATGCCAAAGCAAGCAAAAGAGCTCTGTCTTGAACGAGAGCACTTTCAACTCTGCTGAAAGCAGCGGCTTAAAGGGTGATTCGGAGAGTGCACTAAGCACAGATCCCAAACTGGTACCATATTAGAGCGAAAAGGGCGCAACCTCCGCGCTCCTCTTAAGAAGCTCGTCACCAGATGATGCCTACCGACCGAATGATCACCGACAGGCAAATGGAAAACTGAAATAGCAGCCACATACACTTTTAGAGTAGATGGCGTATGTCCAGCATCCAAGCAGTCCTGCAGAAATGATAGAATGACAGACACATCACAGCTGGTTGGGTCCTCATCTTTCGTCATACACCATGAAGTGAAAACTTTCCATTTCAGACTGTACAGACGTCTGGTAGATGGAGCTCTGGCTTCAGCAATTGTATCCAAAACTCACTGAGATACGTTTAGCGTCTGCCCTCCGCGCTGACCTGCCAAACATGCAGGTTCCATAGCTAAGGCCTGGGGTGCCACACCGAGCCCTTTGCCCGAGATAAGAGATCTCCATAACGGAATCGGCCATGGGGGAACCGTTATAAGCTCTACCAACTCCGGGAACCATGGCTGGTTGGGCCAATTCGGCGTTACCAGAAGCACCGTCCCCCCTTTCCTCTCTGATTTTCTGCAGCACTAGCGGCATAATCTTCACTGGGGGAAAAAGCATATTTGCGTTTCTTGGGCCAGCGACTCGAAAGAGCATCCCCCTCCAGAGGCGTGTTCGTCAGTGAGAAGAACAGCTGGCAATGTGCGCTCTCCTCTGAGGCAAACAAGTCGATCTCCGCCTCGCCGAACAGGCTCCAAATCAGCTGAATGGTCTGCGGGTGAAGCCTCCATTCCCCGTGAACTGGACCACCCCTGGACAGCATGTCCACGCCGCAGTTCTGACTGCCGGGAACATGAACTGCTCAAATCAACAAAGTTTCTGTCCGCCCAAAGGAGGAAACGTTCCGCCAGTCTTTGAAGTGAGCGTGAACGAATACTTCCCTGATGGTTGATATAGGATACCACCATTATGTTGTCTGTCCGAACCAGGACGTGTCAATCCTTTATCAGTGGAAGAAAGCCTTGCAAAGCTAAAAATACTGCCTTCAGCTCTAGACAGTTTATATACCACTTTGCTTGCGCACTCGTCCAAGTGCCATAAGCCAGTCTGCCGTGACGTCGCAAAGGGCTCCCCAGCCCGTCAATGACGCAGGAGTCTTTGTGTGACGATCTTTCTGTTGACCACTCTGCCCATCGAGACTCCCTGCTCGAACATCCTCGTGTTGAGCCTGGGGGCTAGCGTCTGCATGCATCCGCGAGTCACCAAGACACGCAACTGACCGTTCTTCCACGCGTTGCTTGGCACCCAGGATTTCAGTCATAGCTGAAGTGGTCTCATATGCAGAAGCCTGAGTTGACACGCCACAGCTGCTGCTGCCAATACGCCCTAACAGTCTCTGAAAGCATTTCAGAATCACCACTCTCCCCGGTTTGAACGAGGTGAGAGCGTTGATCAAAGCCGGCATTCGCGCTTGAGAGAGACGCGCTCTCATCGATAGCGAGTCCAAATCCATTCCTAAGAATGTGATAGTCTGTGTGGGGCTAAGCTTGCTCTTCTGCACATTGATCGTCAGTCCTAGATGCTTCAGATGTTCTAGAAGCTGACATTTGTGGTTTTCCATTTGTGGTTTGACATTTGTTTTTTTCTTTTAAGTCCACAGAGATAAATCGGTCCCCGGGCTGAATGTGCGCGAGGATCTGTTTTACTGTTATCATCTTGAACGGGCGCTTTGCAAGTGCGTGGTTCAGCGGTCTCAAACCCAGAATAGGGCGAAGGCCCCCATCCTTTTTGGGGACCAGGAAGTAGCGACTGTAAAGGCCACACTCCATGTTCTCTGGGGGAAATCTCCTCCATTGCATGTTTCGCAAGGAGAGAACGAATTTCTGCTCGCAAAACCGGTGCATCCCTGTCCTGCACATCTGACATCACACCGCTGAAGTGGGGTGGTCTGCGTGCAAACTGAAGCGTATACCCGCTCGAGACCGTGCTCAGCACCCGTTCTGACACTCCTGGAAGCACGCACCACGCGTCCAAATAGTGAGAAAGGGGTTGGAGTGCCCCGTGACATGTCCGGGATGGCCCGTTGTCTGCTGACGGGGAGCCGCCAACCACCTGAGGGGCATCGTAGAGGTCTCCTGCACCGGCTGGACCACCGGCATGAGCTGGGGGGACACTCGTGCTTAGACTGAGAGAGCGCACGGGGCCTGCGCCCTGCAAAGTGCCGTTCAAAACCGGGACTCTTGCATATAACGCGTGATTGGGAACAACTGTGAGGAGAAAGAGAGCTCTTTTGCTGAACCATGTTTGTTTTGTGCTTTTTTTCTTTTTTGTGCAAATTTTGACAAACATTTCCCCGTCACCTGCAACATGCGAAGGGACAGGCAGGTGAAACACAGCAAGACGAACTCTCTTGCGAATCGGCCCATCGTCCGTCTCTCCGGGCGGCCTCTTCCCCCTCAGACCACCCCAGTCAGGAATGCTGCTGTGGATCTGGCACAGCACCAGAAGGGCAGGGTTCCATCTTCTTCGGGTACCGGAACTGCCTTGCTTTCGGTCTCATGGCTGGCTCCGGGTCCACCCTCGATCTCGAGGAAGGAGCAGGCGGCGGTTTTTGAACACTGTGAAGAAGAGGATCTGGAACGTGGCAGAGGTGCAGCGGACTGATCTCTCTTCAGCAGGAAATGGTTTATCGCCTTTGACTGTTTCTGTGCCTCCAGAAACCTCTCAGAAAATGAGCCTACAGCATTACCAAACAGGCCGACGGGGGGGCGGAGGCAGTGGATTAGCCTGTGCGCAGTTTAGGATCACAGAAATCCTGGCCCAGAGGGTTTTGACTGTCATTTGCTCACAGGAAGGACAGTCAGGCCCATCCAGCGCGGCCTCTGCATGGGCTCGGCCCAGACAGAAGACACACGAGTCGTGTGCATCAGGGAGCTCAATTGGGCCCCCGCACGCACAGCACTCCTTAAGTGACATCTTGTCTTCTTGCCGGATCGCCAAAGGGGAACTAAAACCGAACGGCGAGAAGAGTTAACGGCGGTGAGAAGTCTTTGATGCTTGCTTCGTGAAGGAGAAAGGTTCTGAGGCAATGACACTGGACGCCGACCTATATAGTGGGTGGCTCTGCCCCTAGCTCGAGCGTCATTGGCCGGTAAGATTTACCGGCATGATGCAATAAGGCTTCAGTATTTTAGGAGGAGGGGGATAACCCCAAGCGTAAGCTATGCAGTGTCGAGAGACCGAACTTGATAGGGAACTTTAATAAAACGTTTTTTCCCCCACTAATAAAAAGATTTAATCATTAGCTAGCTCCACACTGGAGAGCTGCTTTATAACAGGAAATCAAGTTGTAATTCTAACTGAAAGCGACACTGACTCTGGTTTTTCATGTTTAATACTGTAAAGCTGCTTGATTTAAGTCTATCTATTGCATAAAGAACTATATAAATAAACATGACGTGACTGGACTTTACTGGAGTACTGAACTGCATAGCTCGTGCAAACATCCACATCGCTGTAATCGGATGCGTTTTAAACTGCTGCTTTCTCACCTCTGTCAGTTTTTAATGTGTTTATTTTGTTATTGAGAGGAAAGCGTGCAGTATATATTTACATATTCATCCAAACGCCGCTCAGCAGCCTCAGGTTCGGCTGCATTTGCTCTGCCTCTGTCTGAAGCGATGTCTTTTTTGAATTGCATCAGGAGAGCTGAATTACAGTCTTGCGCTAGAGTGCCACACTGGTCAAACCGCGTTATTGCAGGCTCTTACATTTGGTCATATGGGATCAAACGACTACTCGACAACAAAAATATTTGTCGACAATTTTTTTTATTGTTGACTAATAATGTTGATAATGTTGACTAATCGTTTCAGCCCTAGTCAGTAATAGTATTTCTTTGCATTTATTTGATTTTAAAAAATACAGTAAAACAGTAAGAATGTCTGCAACGGTTTGAGTTAAAAATCTCAGTTTGTGTTCTACTGAAGAAACAGTCACCTACATCTTGGATGCCCTGGGGGTAAGCAGATAAACATCAAATTTTCATTTTTGGGTGAACTATCCCTTTAAAGGTGCAGTAGGAGATCTTGGAAAATGCTAACTTTAGCCTGATAGCACTGAAAGCGAACTTCCCACCCTCCCTGCACTCGCCGTACAAAGCTACGCCCCCTGAACGCATAGACGCTCACAGACCAGAATACCAGAGACAACATTAATACAATAGGCTACATCAGCCATTCTCAATTTCAGCCCATGTTCCGAAGTGAAGTAAACCCCTTCTCCTTCACCAAGCGTTTTGATTGGACGAACATTTCTTGGTCCTACGCCTTCCACAGAATATATAAATACAGATAAATACATTTAGACCACTTAACTTAATGATTGCTATCGGGATGTGAAGAGACTTTCAACCAGCATAACAAAAATTTTTACTGAAGACAATCACATATTGCACCATTAATTTTCAGCATCACTGCTTCAGTCTTCAGTGTCACGTCATCCTTCAGAAATCATTCTAATATGCTAATTTGTTGCTCTAAAAATATTTCTTATTATCAGTGTTGAAAACAGCTGCGCTGCTTAATGTTTTTGTGGAAATGGTGATATATTTATTTAAAAAAATGTAACAAGTCTGTCACTTTTGATCAATTTAATGCGTCTTTGCTAAATAAAAGTATTTATTTCTTTCAAAAAGCCTGAAAATGAATACACCTTAGTAATTAATTAATTGTAATGTTTGTCTAGCAACGTGCTGAGTGTGTTCATTTAACAGCTAGAAAAGTGGGTTCTTACTCGAGACTTCTTGTTGGGCGTGTAAGCCTTTGAATTACTGAAGATAAGCCGCACGTCTTTGGCAAACTCCATGGGATTCTCGTAGTTCCCACCCATCAGGGTCTCAGAGACTGTGCCTAAATCCATAGGAGTGTCTATAATATCACGATAATCCTGATACATAGACCGAAAGAGAAATTAGGTCGGAATGATTTCCAACATGGAAAACAGGAAGTGACGGGCATAATGTTAAAGGGAGTGAACAGAAAATGATGGTAGCTGTGAAGAAAGAGCGTAGAGGGAAGAATGAGGTACCGGGTAGGTGAAGAGGTCGACAGGTTGGCGAAAAGCCTCTGAATCGGAGCTTGCCATCATTCTCCTCAGAAGCTCTTTGCACTGTCCGTGCCATGCGTTGATATCCATGACCACTCCACGCTTCTGAGGCACGTTATTGGACCTCTGAAAATGGTGGAAGAGGTTAGAGAAAACATACCTGGTACTGTAACACTTCATGGTAAATAAATTATAAGTTGAATTGTCTCACCCTCTGACCAGTGGAGGTGCCAGGAGTGTCCGAGTCCACATTCACAGTTTCCTACAGAGCAAACAGAGACAATGAATAGTTCCTCTGCTTAATATAGGGGTGTCCAATCCTGGAGGGCCAACGTCCTGCAGAGTTTAGCTCCAACACAGTTGCCTGGAAGTTTCTAGTGAGCCTGAATACCTTGATTAGTTGATCAGTTAGGCTTAATTAGGGTTGGAGCTGAATTCTGTAGGAAAGTGGACCTCCAGGAACCAGTTTGGACACCCCTGGCTTAATACTAAAATATATACAGCAGGCTCTAGCTGGCCCAAAAGTTGTCACAGTGGTTCTGGGTCAGCATACCATACTTGCTCTGTACAAACACACACACTTACCTCTTCCTCGCTGCTGAATTCGCTCATCATCTTATTATAGAGATCCAAGATATCAGTACAGGTCTGATCCCTGCAGACACACATGCACATTAACAGTGAAAATGCTCAGTATGATCACCGAGCCCAGCAGGTGAACCAGAGGGATCGTAACCGATATGAATGTGTAAGTGACTGCATTATCTCTAACCTGATGAAATGCAGTAGGACGCTGCTGACCGTTTTGGCTGCTTTGACGATAGGGCTCTGCGGTTCGTTAAACGTTCGAGCGTTGTGTTCAATGTAACGCACCTCCCACATTAGTGCCGAGATCCGCCTACACATACAGAGACACGTGAGAGAACTTCAACACTTGTATTTGTGAAGACCTAGAGTGCACTCATATTGATGTCTGATAACGCTGTGGTCAGTAGGCTAAAGGATAGTGTGTACCTGTAGAAACGGTGCACTAATCTTGTTCTGATGGTGTTGAGGTCAGTAAGATAGGCCACAACAGTGCAGTACAGTGGATATTCCCTCAAATCTACAGGGCAGGAGAATGCCTTTGCCACATCTGTAAAACACACAAGAGTAAAATTTTGCAAGGAACATGCTTTATTGTAAAAATAGTCACAGATAAACAATGCATGCATTTGTCCATCAGTAAAGTATCAAATCACTAAAGCATCTAATCAATATTAATTTATACAACAGTTCTTTATGGTCCTCAAATCTGATAGGCTGATAAGAATGCGATATTAGAGTGATATCAGAACTCCAACAGCCGTTTTACAGTTTGTAATCGTATCACTCCGCTTGCGGTACTTCTTGGCCAGATCTTCTGGAATTTACCACTGGCTCTGATGTCTCTGTAGTGGTTACACGAGATATAATTCGTTATGGTTAAACCTAACGGTTGTCTTTGGTCTCATTAATCTATTATGTTTTCCAGAGAAGATAGTTTTAGCAAATTCGCACGTTTATTAATTCAATGCTGTATATCACAGCGCTGCCTTTGTACTTTTGACTGAATTGCCAAGCAACTTTTGTGATGTCTGTTGTTGCTTATTAAATATTATTACTCAAATAATATTTTATATAAATAAATAATAGTATTTAATAATAGTGTTTAGTATAGAGAAACGGTGCGTGTTCGTGATGGTGATTTTAGTTACATTGTTCTGTCATTGGATGGCGACAAGAGACTGTTTTTATGAGTCAGCAGTAAAGACTTTTACATTGAAAAGTTATACATTCTATAAACGGAAGTTATTTTTAGTTTCAACAACAGCTTGACGCATTGCAATACACAAATGCACTGAGCAGCAAAATCAGCCTTAACAGATGAAAGGATATTAACATTACGACAAAGATAACGCTTTCCTCAGCAGATATTCAAACTAATGTTTATTGTGATATGAGATTGATCTGAAGAATGAATGCTGTATCAGATGCAGGTAATCACACTTGCACAGTCCATCTCTCTCTCACAATATCTACTATACATAATACCCCGCTTTTACTACAGTAATACAATATGCTTTCAATGAAGCAACTCAACGTTCCTTTGTTACTAGTTCTAAAGTGACATTTTTGAATTAGTAACAGAGGCTTGGGCTCAGCTGTTCAACTGTCAAACTTTGATTTAAATCCGTGGTGGAAGTAGTTCTGCACAAAAGAGGGCTTTTAAAGACACTCCATTGTTATTTTATGTATTTACATACTCGTGCCGTCTGATTACTTGGCCTGCGGCCACAGCCGTGCCGATATACAGCCATATCTCACATCTACGAGTGTGATATTGCTTATATGCACTACAGGGTCGCATATTAACGTGGCCTTATAGCAAAAAGGCCACCAAAATGAAAAGAAAAAAAACCCACCCCACAAATAAAAAAATCAATTGTGGCTGTCGTGATTAAAATTAAATGTGAAAATGAATAAAGTGTCTATCCGCGGAATTATATTTTGATTCACACTGCAACAGATTGTCCAATCACACGCATTTCCAATCACACGCATTTCCATTGAGCTTAGGAATGCATTTCTAAAGCTCAATCAGAGGCATTCAGATTAGTCAGATTGTGAAGTGACATGACATGTGGCCAAGTATGGTGACCCATACTCGGAATTAGTGCTCTGCATTTATCCCATACAGAGTGCGCACCTACACAGCAGTGAACACACACACACGGAGCAAGTGGGCAACCATTTTTTTTTTTTTTTTTTTTTTTTTACCAGTCGTGGTATTGTACATTGTACATTCACTCCCCCCACCTACAATCCCTGCCGGTACGAGACTCTAACCCTAAACCTTTGGGTTACGAGTCTGACTCTCTAACCCTTAGGCCACGACTAGTTGTTGTTTAGTGTGCACGCTCACAGATTGAATTCTTTGTGCTCGCGACTTCCCTCATCATAAAAAAAACTGCAGATACGATGTAAATAAAAGATTCATTTCGTCGCTTCAATGATTATAACAGGAGTTTTTGCATAACTTGAGCTAGACTAGACTAGACTAACGTCATGGACCGACATGTTTGTCTGTGAAGCCAGAGCCAGAATATATGATGAGCCATTCCCCTAAAACACAAACACAAAAAAGTTTTTATTTGTATTCTATTAAATCGACATTAATAATAATTATTACAATATCAAGAACAATAATCGACAATAAAAATTTCTGTCATAAAATTAGCTCCCGTTTTTAAATCTATAATTTAGATACGATTTTCAAGTCAAGTGTTATCGGCAAGTTTAAAATATTTTGATTGAATTAATTGGTTAAATGTAAGTATTTGACATTAAAGACAACACAGATACAATTATTAAGGTGTTCATGTTCAGTTCATTGCTTGCAAATTATTTGCAATATTTTATTGCAAATTACTGACTTTTGTCCACGAGAATTATTACTTGAAAAAAATCTTCTCAGCTAATAAAATAATTTCCTTAAATGTATTAATAATTGTTTAACATCTTTAATAAAGGCTTTCATCAGTGATCTAGTTTTGCTTTGGTATTAAAATTGGCTTGAGAATCATAAAATGCCATTGTACTGGTATTTTGACAAGGTTAATCAGCAACTGACATATACCAAAAAAGTTCAATATTTTCAAAAAATCCTGCGAATAGTTTTAGGTGGTTTGTGTGCATTTGCCATACCGAGTGTTAGCAGCTGATCTATGGCTGTGATGACTCTCTCGCACTCGTCATCTCGTGTGTTCAGCCCCCACTCTCCCTCCTGAGGGGTGTACAGCAGGGCCTGAAGCTCGTCCTCTGTGACCGGGACACTGCCCCCATGTTCCTCTGGAAGTGGAGCTGTAGATGTTCAATCACACCATTAGATATGCCCGAATGTGACTGGCTGATTTAGTGTCCGATTTTAAGTGTGTCAGTACCTTCTTCAGGTATGGGCTCTATATCCCATGGACTCATTTTCTCTCTCTCTCCATTATCCCACCTGCAAAACAACATACACCAATTATTAAAAAGATTTACGGCAATAATAAGCCCAAGGTTTAACTCTGTACTCCGGTAGGGCAGTGATCAAATCTACGTACCTGACAATGTAGCACTGAAAGAGGCTGTCTGGATAGTCAGATTGAAATGGCTCCTGACACTCCACCGAACCAAACCACCAAGCATCATCAATGATGCTTCTGAAATGCTGACCTAAATACAGATATTCACAGCTGTTATTTGCTACTTATATGCTATTTTATGATCATAATAAACATTCGTCTTTACCACCACAGCATTAATAGATCAATAATCTATGCCATGCAGCCACTAATCCTGCAAGCATTATAGCATGTTTCTATGCAGTTAATAATGTGTTATGGGTGGTTGTTTACTTGCTCAAATCAAAAGAACCCAATCAACCCACCCACAAGTCTCTCTTTTTTTTGGTATGGCTCAGGCCCATCTTTCAATGTAAATCTATGGGATTTTTTTCTCTCACTTCCTTATCCACCAAGTAATGATGCTCAGTCACTTAAAAAAAGTGACATCCTGCCTTTCCCCAACAAGCCACATGATTTGAGGCATCATTTACAGCCTTAGTGCAAACAAACTTAGGTAGAGGTTTGCTCAAAGATATCAGTGACTCTTGCATATACCACAGTTTAAAGCACAAACACACCAGGCTGCCAGTTGCGTTCTTTGGCCTCATTGTAAAACTGTTGTAGCACCAGAAAGTCAATGACATCAGGCATATCATGATACCTAAAGAGAGACACAGAGACAGCTATCATTAAACATATATTCATGATCAAAAACTATCCCAATATCTATTTTAAATGCATTCATCAGAATGTAGTATTTATCGTAATTTATTATGCTATTCCAATACCAATAGTAAATAAATAAAAATATAAGACAATGTGCTTGTGTGTTTTTGAGAGTATAAGTGTACATACTTCAAGCTGAAGGATTCGTTGGTCATTTTCCCTGAGGTGGGGTCCAGTAGAGCCAGTTTGAGGCAGCACAGAGTGGGCGGCCCGACTTCATATTTAATACCCACTACCTTTACAGACTCCTGATCCTAAGAGAACACACAGACAACATACTTTCAAGTTCCTGTTAGTCTGGATGCAGAATGGGCCAACCACTGTCATGCAAACTAAATTATGCCTAATAACGAGTGGGAATGGTGATGAGAGAGGAAATAAGCCCCTTACCCTGAGGTTCAGGCGGTTCCAGGGCTGTTTCTGAGGGTTGATGCTGTAGGCTTTGGCACGACACACGGCTCGGACGTATGCTTGATGACCCTGACGGAAATATATCAGCTACAGAAGAACAAAGAAAGAGAAATGGCTTAAGAAAGATGTGCATATATGATGAAAATCCTTGTATGTACTTCTGGTCATTTAGTGTGTGCCTACATTTAATGAAGGGACTCACCTCATCTCCCATTTGAGGTACAAAGGGTGATCGTCTTGGAATTGTCTCCATGATCCAAGATGGGGGCAACCATTCCTCTAAATCGCCAGCAGGCACAGACTAAATTCACACACACACACACACACACACATTAACATAGAAGAGAAAATATGGATGGATGGATGGATGAATGATAGATGTATGCTAACCCGCTGTTTAGGTTTCTTTTTCTTTTCAGTGCGTTTACTCGTTCTCTCAGCCTCTCCTTCTCCCTGCCCTGTCCCCTCCTCATCCTCAGAGCTACTGCTCCCAACAACACGAGCCGGCAGCCTTCTAGTTGTTCGCGTCGGAGGCTGGAGGTTGATTCCCGCATCCGCCGTCCAATCAGAATACTCGCTAGAAGAGTCACTGTAAAATATATAAACAGGAAACGGAAAAACCCCCCAGAAAATTCTTAAAACTTCTCTCAACATTCAGAAACACTACTAAAAACAAAAATAGAAATTATTAATTAAAAATTGATAAACAAAATTACAATAGTACTATCTATAATTTAATCTCTAATATTGGTCTAAATAAAATTTGTTGTTACACCAGTCTAATTCTATATGGAGTCAAGACTAAAAGCTGCTAAAGAATTAAAGCTCATTTAAACAATTTTAAGATGGTTCTAGACCAAAATCAGAATGCTTCATCTGCATTATTGATGTTCTTTTATGTTGTAAAATATTGTGATTGGGACTGAACCTGGAGCTACTGTCATTCTCCCACTGAGCTTCACCATCAGAGGACACGTTTCTGTTCTCATTCTGCTCCTCCTCCTGCTGGGTGCACACATTCAGAAACATTACTTAATATTTAATTAAGCATTTTAAAACTAGCAAATATATATATATATATATATATAGATATATAGATATATAGATAGAGTAAAAAAAAAATTCACTAAAAGAATTCACCAACACTGCCTTCTTACCTCCACTTCACTGTCGGACTCTGCCACACTTTCCTCGTTATGGGTGTACGAGAGCACACTTGTGCTGCGTCTCCTTTCTCGAGTCGAGCGGGTCTGATACGCATGTCTCCTCTGCTGAGGTCTGCGCTGAGGCCTCCGTAACATGCGAACGCTCTCTCCCACTGGCTCACTCTACAGATAAAGAGGGAGAAAAACGAGGTTTAGGTTTATACTGCAGTTCGGTACTGACTTTATATGTCTTCATGTGTATAAAACTCACTCCTGTTGTGGGAGCAAATTTCTTCTTCTTCTTCTCAATGTTGTAGAAAGACCTTTCTACCTCTCCTTTAGCACGCCTACTGTCTTCCATCACTCTAAATGTGCACAAATACATCACATCAGTGAGAAGGCAGTGTTGGATGTTAAAACTCTCAAAGATATTCACACAAGGTCAGTTTAGAGTAGTTAAAGGAAACAATGGACATTTAAAAGGGGAATTCTAGTGAATAATTTCAATAAAAGCCTTAGACATCTACAACCTATTATTGTGGAATGAGATTCGTGATTGATTTAGTCATGTTAACAAAAAAAAGTTAATAAAAAAACTGGCATATTTAAAAATTCACTTTGTGTTTTTATTATGTGCAACAGCTCTATGTAAAATACAAGAGATTTTATTGGCAAACTGTTTTTCAAAGTAATATACATTTAATTTAGTTTTTTTTATAGATTAAGTTTAGGTTTACATTAGTTCCACATAATATATATATATATTATGTGGTGTAGCTGATGGGGTGGTGTAGCCATTGTGGTGAGCATTGTCATCATGCTCACCATTGGTCTTATATATTTTTTTTTAAAATACAGAAGCTTAAAAACTTTAGACAAGTGTTTCCCAACAAGGGACCAGATATATAACCAAAACCTTGATATATATAGATATATATACACACACACAGTGCACAGCATAAATGACTACGCCCCCTCTGATTAAGATATAAAAGATGTATTTTCTTAATGATCACAAATATAATTCATAGAAAGATGGCAAAATTGAAATGTATTAAACATATTCTTAATAACAACAGAGAAATACATGCCATTAATATCTGTAAAATAAGAAACTTAGACAATTTTTGTTTAAATGAAGGATTGCAGAATTGAGTACAACCTAGATTTAATTCAACCAAGTGTAATATTCTAGAACTTAATATGTCCTCCATAACTCCAAGTACACTGCTCTGACACTTCTTGGCACTGAGTGTAAAAGTTCATGACAAATTTTCACATCTGTGCTGTTTAACTCCTGGAGGATGACCTCCTTATATGCTCTGGTCCTTAATGGAAAGTGTTGCTCAGCTTGTCTCTACAGAATCTCTCACAGCAGCTCAAGAGTGTTAAGATTGAGTGAAATACATATCAACTGAAGGATTTTCAACACAGGAGAATGAATATCTTCAATGTCATGTTAAAAAAAATGCCCAACAATGCAGGGAATGAGGGGAGGGTAGCATCTTCAGTTTCAGGTTTTTGTATTACATTACACAGTGGTGTGTGAATTCACAACAGCGTTGATAAAGTACAACTCCCTCACACCTTCAGCACTCATTCATCCCTATATAAAAGCTTTACTACCACTGAACGTCACTGTGGGAACCAGGCACTTCTCTCTGTACTCCTCCTCTACCAACACCAGAACATTTTAGATGCTGTTAGACCCGAAATGATTGAATTGGTCTCATGAGACCAGAGTATGGATTCCCAGAAGTCTATATTTTGTAAATATGGGCCTTGGAAAAAGCTAAATGAGTTTATTGTGCTTTGGCTACAGTCGGTAGTTCTGGTGTGGATAAACAACCATGCATGTCACTTCTGCAGGCTGCATCTTACTCTGTGAGATAAAGTGTCACACTTTTCACAGCTTTTGCCGCTCTGAGACACTTTCAGTGTTTCTCCTGCTCTTTTTCTAGCAAAAACTCACTCATCAGTAAATGAAAGCTTAAAGTGAAGACCTGATTATTTCAGGGGCCTTTTCACAAGTCCATTGTTTTTGAATTTCTGTGTTACTTTGGCTATATTTTCACACTTAAAACAATAATTTGGTATTCCTCTTGTACCATTGTCCTCTTTGATGCTAAGAAATAAATCTCCTGACAGTTCTAAACTCACTCATCAGTAAATGAAAGCTTAAAGTGAAGACCTGATTATTTCAGGGGCCTTTTCACAAGTCCATTGTTTTTGAATTTCTGTGTTACTTTGGCTATATTTTCACACTTAAAACAATAATTTGGTATTCCTCTTGTACCATTGTCCTCTTTTATGCTAAGCAATAAATCTCTTGACAGTTCTCTCTCAAGTGGTTTCATTGTTGTCAGCATTAAGTCAGAGTATGATTCAGTGGGCCATATAACACTTAATTATCAAGAAATTACTTCCCTTTAACAGTTTTGGTTCAACATACTTACCTGTTGATCAGTGCTTGCCTTAACCTTACACCAGAATTTTTTTGTTTTGTTTTATTTAGTAACTTTCACGAGGGTGTACTCATTATTGCAACACAACATTTTATCACTTTGAAATGAAAATGGCATTTTCTTGAATAATTTTAACATTCTTCCTTTGTAACTGATCAAGCAGACTTGCTGGAATATTATATCTCTAAAAAACCATAACATGTCTTCTAAG